TCCCAATCCAAATACCAACAACATTCTTTAAAGAGATGGAAAAACTAATTATTAATTTTATATGGAAAGGGAAGAAGCCCTGAATAAGTAAAGCACTATTGAAGAAAAAGAATAAAGTAGGAGGACTCACACTACCTGACCTCAGAACCTACTATACAGCTACAGAAGTCAAAACAGCCTGGTACTGGTACAATGACAGATACATTGACCAATGGAACAGAATTGAGAATCCAGATGTAAATCCATCCACCTACCATCACCTGATCTTCAACAAGGGCCCAAAGTCCATCAGATGGGGAAATGACAATCTTTTTAACAAATGGTGCTGGCAAAACTGGATGTCCACCTGCAAAAAAAATGAAACACAACCCATACCTCACGCCGTATACAAAAACTAATTCAAAATGAATCAGAGACCTAAATATAAAGCCAAAAACTATAAAGTTCATAGAAGAAAAAATAGGATCAACACTAGAGACCCTAATACACGGCATTAACAGGATACAAACCATAACCAACAACACACAAACTCCAGAAGATAAGCTAGATAACTGAGATCTTCTAAAAATCAGACACTTAATGCTCTTCAGAAGACTTCACCAAAAGAGTAAAAATAGAACCTACAGACAGGGAAAAAATTTTTGGACATTACAGGTCAGACAAAGGTCTAATCTCTATAACCTACAAGAAAACTGAACTCCTCTACAACAAAACGACAAATAATCCTATTAAAAAATGGGCAAAGGAAATGAACAGACACTTCACCAAAGAAGACATTCAGATGGCCAACAGACACATGAGGAAATGCGCGCGATCACTAGCCATTAGATAAATGCAAATTAAAACCACAATGAGATACCATCTCACCCCAGCATTACTGGCATGAATCAGAAACACTGGAAATAACATGTTGGAGAGGCTGCAGGGAGATCGGAACTCCTATGCACTGCTGGTGGGAATGCAAATGATACAACCATTTTGGAAAATGATATGGTGCTTCCTAAGAAAGCTAGAAATAGAAATACCATACGATCCAGCAATCCCACTCCTAGGAATATATTCTAGAGAAATAAGAGCCAGCACGAATAGACATATGCACACCCATGTTCATTGCAGCATTGTTCACAGTAGCAAAAAGATGGAAACAACCTAGATGCGCATCAGCGGATGAATGGATAAACAAATATGGTACCTACACACATCGGAGTATTATACAACAATAAAGAACAATCATGAATCTGTGAAGCATCTCATAACATGGATGAAACTGGAGGACATTAAGCTGAAATAAGTTAATCACAAAAGGACAAATATTGTATAAGACCTCTATTGTAAAAACTCATGAAAAAATTGACACACAATAAGTAACAATCTTTGTTGGTTACAAGGGATGGGAGGGGTAGGGGGGAATACTAAATAGACAATAGATAAGTGGTATCTTTGGTGAAGGATAAGACAGTGCACAATACTGGGGAAGCCAGCACGACTTGTACAAGGAAAGGTCATGGAAGCTCCATAGTCGCATCCAAACTCCCTGAGGGACTGAATTGCTTGGCGGAGGGCTGTGGGGACCATGCTCTCAGGGAACATCTAGCTCAACTGGCATAACACAGTTTATAAAGACAATGTTCTGCATTCAACCTTGCTGAGTAGCGTTTAGGGTCTTAAAAGCCTATGAGCAGCCATCTAAGATACTCCACTGGTCTCA